ATATATATATATATATATATATATATATATATACTTCACACACGCCTGAAGCAAGACTGGGTGCCAAACAAATCATGGTACAATAATCTTTATCAAAAGAAAAACGTTCCGTGATTTGTATATGAGCTGAATACTGCCATGTTGCCCAGGCAGGTAAATTTGCTTGGGGAATCCACAACCGAACCCTTTAGCTAGCCAAATCCTGACCCGCAAGACAGCGGGGCGGTATGTGAAAACCGCAGTCCATTGGGAGCCGGTGTCCAGGTCATCGGATGATACGCTCTTCGGAAGATGTCAGACGTCCCAAGTGCCCAACACACCTTGATACCGAATTGAACCGGTACCACTGCCGTAACCCGAAGGGTGCATGTGATTCNAAGACAGTGAGTAGGGGCTTCCTCAGTAGAATTGGCTACTTGAGATGCTTGGTCGTATGGGAGCATTTCGCGAGGTGCAAGGGCAGGGTGACCGGCCACAACTGTAGACACCCACCTCCGACCATGCTGAAGCTTATAAATCCACAAAACGGTATCGGGACGAGGATATAATAAATTTAATAAATGTCTTTTTCACTTCCTTTTTCTATTTATTGAAAATACAAATGTACAGTCAACTTTCAGGAAGGGTGCTGCGGCCATACAAAGCCTGTCTGGAGAAAATACAGATATGGTAAAGACGGACGACGGTGGAGCGGTTTGAACCCGGGGCACCCAGGTCCCTAGTTGGTGACCTAACCACTTGGCCACCATCGCCCAAAGAGAGTTATTTATTACGAATAATGGTAGGGATATCGGTAAATTGACTTACATATACCCAAATGCCTCATTCGGAACAAGTCTGCAGAATTCCCACAAGCACATGGGATAATTGGGGGGAACATTCCAACAGTAGGTACGTCTTTCCCGTGGTTACCATTTTGAACACAGTAATTCGCCCGAATAGTTCTTGTTCCTTTGTTCGTTAATAGAAACCACCAATAACATTCTTTCGTGTAATCCAAGCACTTCACAATACTGGTAATTAGTGACAAACGTTTTATCCGACACTTTTATCGGGAACCTTTCTGGGGCCAAACACGAGGCTTCCCCCATCCTAAGGGAAATCGAGTTCACCAGACTGTCAGGAAGGCAAAATCCTCCTTGAAAGTCGAACCATCTATCTGACGAAACCTAAATAACTAAAAAAATCTACCGAATATTCCAGGAATTTCATAGAATTTGCTGTAATGTTAAAGCTCTCACGACAGTCATTAATTCAGTCAGATTTATTGGTCACCTCTGTCGTGGCACGTTCCAACATTAATTATCACAGACACACCCTTTCTAATAACACTCAAGGCACATTTCCCCCAAGTAAAATTTTCGCTCTGTTCTTGTTGGCTTTCGATCTAGGGAAGTTGGCGACTGGAGACTCAGAACTAGACGTTGACAACGTGGTTGTCTGAGACAGACGGTACTCTTGTGAGTAAAAATCTCAAGTGACAAATGACACATTGTTTTGCATTCACAAGCCCTAACGTGGATCAAAAAAGGATGCCGCAAAAAGTGGATGTTTATCGTTCCGTAACTCCACTTGAAGTGAACTCCGTCCTTGATATGTGAATGCATGAATACGCCTCGGCCGTGGTAATTATGACATGTTGCAGCGTTGATAAACTGATGATGGTAATGAGGGTGTACTTTTACGAGCTGTTGATTATTCTCAGCACCTTTATGTATTCCCTCCTGATGATCAGAGTTCAGTTGTGAATGCAAAACAAGAATCGTTTGAGTTACATCTGAGATTCTTACTCACCGGAGTGTCGCATTTTATACAGAAACACTGACGCTGTACGAGATGTGTCAAATGGTTCAACGATACGGACACGTCGGTTAAACTTTCTCCAATCAATATGTGTTGCAACATGCATCCCCACACCTTATTTCTTAATCAAACTTTGCAACACCAACATTTGTAGAGAATAGTTTAAAAAGAATATTCATTGATCTCAGAGTATATTCCGACTCTTTTTGATCTGAGTCGCGTATAGCGGTGTGACTAAAGTTTCTGTGTCGAGGCTAAAGGACTGCGGGTCGTGACTAAAGCATAGTGGGTTTTGGGCTAAAGGATTACGTGTCAAGGCTAAAGGACTGTGGGTTTTGGCTAAAGCTTGATGAGAAAAGGTTAAGTTGTTCTCATCGCTTAAGTGCTTTAAGGGCCAATCGGTTGGGTCCCCCTGTGCAATGTTGTGACTATAGCCAGTGGATTTTAAACTATAATGAATAGTGTAGGATCGACTTTTGATTACATTTTTCCGTTCTTTTTTGTCCACATCCCTTTGTGTTCGTGATACAGAGGCAAACCTAAACCCGCACAAACCAAAACAGGCGCAAAACATGTGGGCAGTGCGAAAACTGCTTCTCGAAATGCTGAGACCGGTAAGTCGTTATCCAAGAGGAACAAACCGCCTGGACAAACAAATACTGGGGATAAATCGACCGCTCATTCGGACCCGGTTCTGAACGGGACGTTGAAAAACAAGCCACTGAAACGGGGTCAAAAATCGAAATTGAAGAAAATAAAACAAAAATATGGTGAACAGGACGAGGATGAGCGTCAAATACGGATGGCGCTGTTGCAGGTGAGTTCGTGTGATAAAACCGTAGCACTTATTCTTTTTGTGTTTCTTGCCGTTAAAATAGCATATCAGGACCAGTCGAAATTGATCTCTGTCTTCAAGAATGCAGTCTGTATGTAATATTCGTAGTTCTCCTAGGGGAGTTGGCGAAAAACCCTGATTCCAAACCAACCATGAAGAGATGAACCACACACACGCCTTCCTGATTGTGGCAGTGGTCACCGGCCCCCAATGGTTTGCGGTTTTCACACACCGCCCCGCTGCCTTATGGGTCAGGCTTTGGTTAGCCAAATTGTCCAGTTGTGAATTCTTCAAGAAAATTCACCTGGCTTGGCGTGAACAACCTGGCAGTATTCAGCCCACATGCCAATCAATTATTATTCCATGATTTGTTTGGCACACGGTCTGGATTAAGCCGTGTGTGAAAACATGAAATATATGCGACAGTACTGATCTTTCCAGACTTATCTACTCACTTTATTGACGAATTCGACGGATGGTTTTCAATCTAGTCCATTTGAAATCAGTAAAACGTTGATGATATTCGAATGCGCTTACAGACACTACCTCTTTCCTTATTCTGTTGATATTTATAAAATCATTTTTCGACTATTTAGGGTGAAGGTGCGAAACTAAGCCAACACCACCAGCGACTGTTGTCGGACCGTGAATACGCCGCAGATATGAAAACGGCCACGGATTCACAGATGCCAGCTGAAAGTGAGGAGTCTTCACATTCGGATCCCGAGAGTGGTAACGAACCATCGAATTCCGGTCGCGGTTCAACAGATGACCCACCACCACAAAGTCCAAATGCAGACTCTGAAGAAGCAGAGGACGAAGAGGCGAATGATGCACTGCCATCGGCTGTCGGTGCAGCGGATTCAGATGGTGACGATGACGATGTAGCGCTCTCTGTGCGACCAGACCACTCTCGACCAACCGATAACAACTGGCTACACTTGATGGACACGTTCACAGGCAAACCCATCGAGGACGATGTGCTTCTGTACGCTTTGCCAGTTTGTGCTCCTTATTCTGCGTTGAGTAGCTACAAGTTCAAGGTCAAACTCACCCCGGGAAATGCGAAACGTGGAAAAGGTGAGTGTCTGCCTATTTTCGCTTGCGCTCCTTCGATAGCCGGATTCCGGCTGTTGTTGATCGGATTTAGGATTTTGCTCCGTTTTTTTTTTAAATTATACACCGGTGTGTGATGGACAGCTAAGGGGATGGAGCCCCATAGTCACGAAGACCTGTTGTTCAGTGATGCTAACCGGAAACCTAAGCTCCGGGACTTGGAGTGGCGAACCACATAAGACCCCGATAGGTCGGGAACCGAACAACGATACGGGTAACGGGACGGTTGAGATTATGAGGAAACACTATTTGACAGTTCCTCTTTGTTTCGGGCTCAAGATAACCCTGAAAGACAAAGGAAATTAAACACCTTAAACCCCAGAGGTCCAGTGGGGTAAAAGCATTCAGGTTAAAAATAGTATTAGTGTGATTTTCAAACGTTGCAGTTCATTAAGTTGGCAAGATTGTGACTCTTCCATGGTCATTCACAAATTGACGTTTGTCAAAGCTGATAGTATTTAGCGCGCGAAGGCTACGCTAAATCGTTCTGGTGGTTCGACTGCATACGTATCACAATAAGGTCATCCCAATGTCTCTCAGGTGTATTTCTTCATTATACATCTTGTGTGATGAACATTGGACGGGGTAAACGCCACACTGCTACACGGTGATGGAAACTAGCAACCTAAGCCCCCGCGGGACTTGGACTGACGAACT